ACATTAAGTGAAAGTTTTCTGAGGTACATCTGCAATTGTCGGAAGGCAAAAAAAAAAAAAGACACAACGAGTCCATCTCTATCATAGAAAAGAGTCAGAGACAGATTAACAATGGAATCATAGCGTCAGAGAAAAGTACCTGGATCTCTACAATTTCCCAGACAGCATATAGGGACATCTCCCCTGCGGGTAACAGGCTCAATAAATCAGTTTGGTAGCTAGCTGTCCTGTGTGTCTCATATATGTTATGTTGGGAAGGTGCAGACGGATGATGTTGGGTACTGTTGGTTAGTCGGGCGTTTTGTGTGTCGCACCCTGTTAGTTGTAGGACATGCAACCTCCATCAGTTTACAAAAGTATTTTCGGTTTGGTGTGTAGATGTGCGGAGTATGTGCGGCTGATGTGCGGGCACACGGGCGTGGTCTTGTTTTTGTTTTATTTCGATCGGTTTCCGAGGGCTCTTTTCTCGAACGGTCGGTGCGATGCCTGTTATTTTCTTTCTATCATTTTGTTTTCTTGTTCCGAGTGGTTTGTACCCTATTTTCGTGTTGTTTCCCCACGGCGTCGTATGTGCCGGGTTTTGAGACCACGGGCTCCCCATTTTTTGTGGACCAAAGAGCTAATAATGTGAGAAACAACATGAAACCCCAACCACACGCCTCTATCGGCGGGCACGTCAGGAGGCAATGATGAGACGATGTTCTCCCGTGCCCTTCTCACATTGAACGTCATGCCATTACACAACAAGGTAAATATGTTCTCCTGCGCCGCACATGCCCCCATACATCACACACAAAAAATAAGTTGATTACGAAACGACACACACCCCGCGACGCGCTTGCTCCGCAACCACATAAGGGTGCTATAATAGAACACCCGACAAACCGAGTTCCCCTAAATCTTCCGTCTACAACTTCCCAACATAACATACAGGTAGATACACAAGATGGAGAGCCTGTTACCCACAGGGGAGATATCGTTGTATGCTGTCTGGGAAACTGTAGACATACACGTAGCTTTTCGCTCGCGCTATGGATTAAGTGCTAATCTATCTTAGACATATTTCTATAGATAGATAGAGATGGATTTTTGTTGTGTGATATTAAGAAAAAGAACAAAAAAGCAACAACAACAGGTACAAGCCTAACAGCAAAGCAGTTTATGTTTGCTCAAGAATCCTGGATTATTTTTTTCTGCAGGCAACCAAAGAAAAACCAAGACACATGAAACAAATCGAGAGCGCAGGTAAAATGCCGTCTTGCTCCCAACGTTTTCCAATCGGACTAACCCGTTGCAACCTTTCCAAGATTGCCCTACTATCATAACTATGTTAAGGAGTGTGGCTGCTAGCATGAATAGGGTACATCTTATTCTTGATAGGATGCGGGTCGGTCAGGAGGTATACCCTTCTGACCCCTACCCCCTTAGAATTGTATTCTCTGTGTACCCCCTGAGATGAAGTTGGATCCCCACTTCATCCCAGACCATTGCTGATCGTCTCTCAGCAAAAACAAGCAACTTTCCCATCTCAACGTGGTCGTGGACAACAAGCGTGTCAACGACAGAACCTTCATCAATCTCTAGGCGCAAGCCACCGCCCACGGCATCACTCCTTGAAACTTGGCGTCAGCGGCAGGATTATCCCTACTCCCCCACCACGCGTTCAAGCCTTCGGATGCGCAAGTGCAGATAGCTGTTCGAGACTCCATGTTGAAGCAGTTTCCGGTAGTGTCTGGGCAGGTGTACAAGGATGAGCAGCTCTCCATGGAAGCCCCTTTTGGGCGACATGCTTCGTGTCTGGATGATATGTGGGATGTGTTGGACAAGCGTGCGTTCGCGCACACGCCGGCGGTGCATGGAGATGATTTATTTTCGGTATCTTCCACGAATGCTAGGAGTTCGTCTGCTGTTTCGCGTGCTGTAGCTTCTTCGGCGTTGCGTTCGACGGTGACCCCTTCGTGGAGCCAAGGTTCTTCGGCCGCCGTGATGAGTGTTGACCCTCTACCGAATGATGATCGGGACCCTTTTCTGTTGCACTACAGCGACTGGCCGTTGTAAGGACACTTCCAAGAGGTGTACAACGTCGCTAGTGACATGACTCTAACCAAGAATGATCCGCCATTGTTTACAGCCTTGGTCTCGGCTGAAGAGCGCCGCAACGCGCTTCGACTGTACAAGGGCAAGTGCCTCAACTGCTTGGGAGAAGACCACTCCTTCAAATCCTGTAATCGTGGTTTCTTGAACGCCATCGGCTTGCTTAACAATGACATCAAGTTCTGTATGGAAAATGATCCCACCCTTTGGGGTCGGTGGAAAAAGCGCATGACCTCGTATAGACGCCCTACAGGACGCAACCCACACCGAAATCACCCCTTAGGACGCGCCCGCCGCTCATCTGACACATCGGACACGAAACAGTCCTCACACACAGAGCACTCGTCGGAGGCTTCCACTTCGAAAAAAAGGGGCTGGAGGGGTAAGAAATGACAAGCCGATGGCGGAGTTCAGCCGGTACTACCATCAACAGCAACCACCGTGCACCCTTTTGGATACTCCCCACGCTCCTAAATCACATCTAGTTTCTCGGCCCGCCTCCTCGTCGTCCGCCTCATCGCCTGCTGGTAATGGACATGACAGACCCGTTTCGACAGTACCTTTGTGGTGTGGGCGACAGGGAGGTAAGACGTCGAGCGGTCCATCCCTGCTCACCTCGTCGTCTAGGGTTACAGAAGGAACAAGAACCTCGTCGTCTACTATTCGTCAAGACTCTCCTGGTGTTGTCAGCCGGGCCTCTTCTCGGATCGCACACGAGCCT